CGCAAGTGCTGTCTTTAAAAAAACCGAAAAACATAATATCATCTAAACGAATTCTTTCAATATTTATCAGCTTATGACTTTCATTGTGTGCTTCAAAAGTGATTTGGTGTCTTGTGTTTACAAATAAAATCTTTGGCGACGAAAGAATTATTTCGTAGGCTGTTGTAGAGAGATATTTTTAAATGTTAACACTTGTTTTTATAGAGTTGGGTTTTCAGTTTTTATTTATTTTTTCTTCCAATTTCCCATATTTAAAGAAGTCCTTTTTGTCTGCCTGCCTCTTACTATGTAGCTTTTTTTTATCCTATGTAGCTTTTTTTATCTGATTGTGTATCCATCATATCTTTTATTCATAATTTCCCTCACTCTCCCTATTCATCTCCGTACATTTATCTACGTATTTACTTCTTATTTCTTTCACTCACTACATTGGTTTAAATTTTCCTTTATTTTTATGTTTTATATTTTGGGTGTGTGTTGTGTGTGTGTTTTGCATAAGTCTCTCTACCTTGTTATCTGCTTATTTTATTATTCATTTGTTCACCTGATTACTACTCATTCTCCCTCTCTGCCTATCTATTTATATTTTAATTTATCATTTTACTTTTTTGTATATACTCTCTTTTTATCTATTTGGTTTCTCCCTGCTCCATTCATTCTCTATCTACCAGTTTTTTTATGCCCCTTTTTTGTCTGTCTCTATACGTTTTTCTGTTTTCTCATTCTCTCTCTCTCTCTCTCTCTCTCTCTCTCTCTCTCTCTCTCTCTGCCTACATTAAATATTTATCTACTCTCTCCATTGATTTACATTTTCCTTTATTTTTAAGTTTTATATGTTGGCTATGTGTGTATGACTTTTGCATATATCCCTCTACCTAATAATCTACTTATTTATTATTCATTTGTTCACTCGTTCCTACTCACTCAACCACCCATTGCCTATCTATCTATAGTTTAATCTATTATTTGCCTTTTTTGTGTATATACTTTCTTTTTATATATCTCTTTAGTTTCTCCCTCCCCCATTCATTCTCTATATACCAGTTCGTCAGTTTTTTATGCACATTTTTTTGTCTGCCTCTATACGATTTTCTATTTCCTTCTTGTTCTCCTCCTTCCCTCACTCTCTCTTTATATATATATATATATATATATATATATATATATATACACATATATATACCTATCTATCTAGTTGTTTATCTCTATTTCTATCTATTTATCTCTATATACAAACATATCCAATACATATATATATATATCCATACATACTGGCTCCTCTCTCTATCTCTCTCTTTCTACTTACCTATGTATATATTAACTAGTTTAACTAAATTTTAACATATTTATTTATCTAGCTTTATAATTTCTAAATGTTTAATTGTCTCGCTAGCTTTATATATTTCGCCTTTATTGTGCTCCTTCCCTCATACTTTCCTTCTACTTTCTTATTATATCTCTTTTTGGTTTTGCCTTCTTCATGCATCCTCTGTCTACCAATTCGCGGTAATTTTATCCTCCTCCATCTGTCCCTTTATGTTTTTATATTTCAGTCATGTCCTCGTTCTCTTTCTCTCTCTCATTCTCTCTCATCTTGTTCTTACAAATGACTCTCTTTTTCATTACCCCCCCCTCTCTCTCTCTCTCTCTCTCTATCTATCTATCTATCTATCTATCTATCTATGTATCTATCTATCTATCTATGTATACCTATCTATCTATCTATCTATCTAGCTGTTTATCTTTATATTATTATCCCATTATCTTTATATATTTTTACCTATTTATACATTTTTGCTCTTCTCTCTCTCTCTCTCTCTCTCTCTCTCTCTCTCTCTCTCTCTCTCACTCTCTCTATCTATCTATCTATCTCTATCTATTTATCTATCTATCTATCCCTGTATGAATTTAACTAATTTAACCAAACTTTAATCTATCTATGTATATGTATGCATTTAACTCATTTAACTAAATTTTAACATATCTATCTATCTCTACCTATCTATCTAGCTGTTTTTCTGTATTTCTAAATATGAATCTCTTTGCTTTCTCTGCTTTTCTCTCTCTATCCTGTCGTTTTTCGTTTAAAATGACAATAGTCACAGCGTGAGACGATGTATAATCAATCACGTGATATGTGATGTGTGAAACCGAAGTGACATATATATTTATTAAGAATGTATGGCTAACGTAACAACAACAAAGGGAGAAAATTTACCTCTTACTTTTCCATAAGATAAAAGAGAAATAAACCGCAGTTTTTAAACAAGTATTCACTATGCCAAAAAATAAATAAACGTGAAAGGATTTGTCTACATTTGCTGCTGCTATGTGCTGTCATTTGGAGCAGATTGCCAACTTTTTACGGTGGTCAAGTTAAGAACAGTACAAATGGAACTCCTGCCAAATTTAATTAAATTTTTTAGTTTTGGTTGTCTCCAATACTTTTAACGTTTTCAGACTTTTTTCTTCTTAAGTTGTGCAAATCGTGCAGACTCACCAGGGCATGTGGCAGAATGGATGCCGGCAAGTCGGCGGAGGATGGAGAGGAAGTGTGACCTCGTATTCCATCCGGAGGTGTTGGGGCGAGCTCGGTTCCATCTGGACTGGTCTGCACTCTGCCACCGTCGGCCGCTGCCCCCGCCAGTCCCCCATTCGCCCTTTCGCCCCCCTTTCACCTTCCTTTTCCGCCACGCGAGGACGGCAGCCGGGGTGCAGGTGGAAACATGTCAAAAAAGAAAAGAAAATGTTATTTATCAAGCAAATATGAACAAAAGACAACAAAGCAAAATTTACTGACAACCTACAGTAATTTTACCTTCAAATTCTACAATACTAATAAAAATAAATTCAAATTATCCGCTATAAAGTAAGACTATAATACACGAATTAGTTATTACATTATTGGTGTTAGTGTCTTTGTAATAATCTCAAGTATTGGTAGGGTCTTTGTAGTCTTTCTTCACAGGGCTGTCCTTGTAAGTATAGTGAAGTAAAGTTTGAACTTTGTTACATAAATGACTTTTGGCTTAATGAAGACTTCTGCAGCAATGGTCAATTAAAAAATAAGGAGCTTTTGGGTCATTGTAATCCTACATTGAGGACGTTGATTTTAACTATCAGCTTTTTTTGGTGATGCTGGCTTTGTTGTAATAGTCAATTAATCAAAAATAGTTTTGTTGAAAACTTAGTCTTTGTAGTGATAGTCAATAATTAGCACTTAGGTTTTTGTAATGTCTTTGTTGTAATAGTCAATTCGAAGATTGTTAGATTGTAGTAACAATTAATTCATGGATTTGTGTTTTTGTTGATGTCATTGTCTTTGTTACAAAATTAAATTACAAGCTAGTTGAGCTCGTCGTTGACATTGACGTTTACTAATATTGTGAAATATTGTGTTGGTGTTTCCGAGGTTCAATTCCAGCTTGTTCTTTTTCTATCCGCCTGGTCAGTCTAAGTTGGTATGAGTATAAGTGAGTAGTAGTATAATAAGTATATATAGTAGTAGAGACAGACTTACTGGGTCTGTCTCCATTCTCGGGTTTTTGAGTTATTGGAACGCGTTTAGGGAATCCATCTTCAGTGAGGAAACCAGGCAACAGTTGGCGTTGTCTTTCTAGCAATAGTCAATTCTCGAAAATCTAGTATTTTCTGATGCAAGACTTTTAATAAATACAGTTAATTAAGGTTTTTAGTTGAGATAAAAAAGTCATTGGCACGAGCGGGATTCGAACCCACGATCTTCGGCTAGATGAAAAATGGCGAAAAGGAGGGAAAATTCAAAAGGTGGGGTTGAGATGGGAAGTTAGTGTCCGAGTGGATCGAGGTCACGATAGCTCAAGTGGTAGAGCAGCGGTGTATCTAGCCGAAGATCGTGGGTTCGAATCCCGCTCGTACCATTGCCTTTTTTATCTCAACTAAAAACCTTAATTAATTGTAATATATTAATTGGTCAAGCGGACCATGAAATTACTGAATTTAACTTTTAATAATAGTCAATTCATGGGAAGTTATGTTTTTATTAATGGCATTCTCTTTATAGTTAAAGTCAATTAAAAAGTATTTTAAGCATTTTAAAAGCAATTAAACAATTTAAAAATTATTGATCGTTGGTTACGTAGTCATTTTAAAAGTATTCAATTTATGGATTTTTACACCTACATCGCGTTATTTTTGCAGTAATCCTCAATTAAATCGTCTTTGTCGGTGGATCTTGGATATCATCTTGGACTGTATGATAAAAGTCAATTGCAAGTCCGACCTGTCTTTATTGGCATCACTATTTTTGTTGGAACAGTCAATTGATGTATTATTATTGAGCCTTTATTGATACTACTATTTGTGTAGTGGTCATCAATTTAGTTATTTTTATTGATGGAATTTTGTATGTTATAACCGTCAATTCAAGGTTCGTGCTGTCTTTGTTGGCACTATTTTTTTTTGTTGTTATTGCAATAGTCAATTAAATGGTCTTGGTCGGTGGAATTTTCTTTGTGATGAAAGTCAATTGAAAGTCCCTTCTATCTTTGTCGACAGCACTATTTTTGTTCGAATAGTCAATTGATGGATTATTGAGCCTTTATTGAGTCTATTATTTGTGTAGTGGTCATCAATTTAGTTATTTTTATTAATGGAATTTTGTATGTTATAACGTCAATTCAAGGTTCGTACTATCTTTATTGGCACCACTTTTTTTTGTTATTGCAATAGTCAACCAAATGGTCTTTGTCGGTGGAATTTTCCTTGTGATACAAGTCAATTGAAAGTCCAACCTGTTTTTATTGGCATCACAATTTTTGTTGGACTAGTCAATTGATCATTGTTCAGTCTTTATTGGTATCGTTGTCTTTGTAATTCTATGATAGTGACTATTTTTTTTGTATTAGTCATCAATTCAGTTGTTTGTTGGTAGAATTTGCTTTGTGATAAAACTCAATTGAAAGTTCATCCTGTCTTTATTGGCATCACTGCTTATGTTGAAATAGTCAATTGATGATTGTTCAGTCTTTATTGTACTGTTTTCTGTTTGTTACAAAAGTCAAATCGGAGTTCGTTCTCTTTTTGTTGGCATTGCTGGCAAGTTTGAAAAATCAGTTAATGGATTGTTTAATATTTAATGGTATAGTTGTTTTTGAAATTCGGTGATTGTAGGTAACAATTCTTTTGCCGTGATATTCAATTGAAAGAGTGTTTTATTGTTTAGTTTTTGCGTTTTAAGTATGCTTTTTTGAACCCTTTTCCTTGAATCATACCGCCAAAAGAAATTTTCATGATTTGAGTCATAAAAGGGTGAGTAAACATTGCATTTGTGGAAATATCGATTGTACGATTTAACAAAAACCCGATTGTTTGCCGCGGGCAGGATCGCGTGTTGATGGATGACTAACGACCACAGTCGTTAACCTTTTTGGGTCCGCATGGCATCGTCTTTTTAAAGACGAATTTCGGACAAGCTGACCGCACGACGGTTTGTGTCGCCGTCATTTAACCCTTGAATGACACACCATGGGATACCCCATCCGCTCTTCTTTGATGTGCCACTTTTATTCTAATAATTCCACCCGCACCACTATAAATGCGCTTTTAGATCTCGTCTGTCATGCCATCTCCACTGTCAAGGTCAGTCGTGCTTTAGATTCGTAAGTGGAAAGGCGAGAAAGTTATCCGGGTACGGTACACCCTATGAGGTAATCGATTGCGTTTTCTGTGACTCGTCCCCTATTGTGTTCTTGGCACTTTTCCCAGTTCGTTCGTGTTGTTAGTGTTAGACGAAGGAAATACTCTAAACTACAAGATATATTGTGCAAGAAGAGTTCGTTGGTGTAGAAGCTAGTGGCTCAGAAGATGAGATAGAATTTCAAAATCCGTCAGATTCATCAAAATCGGATTAAGAGGTGGATGGCATTATACCAGAAGAAATTGTTCAAGAGAACGGGATTCTAGAGGAGAATAAAGGTGCTGACAACATGATGTGATCGAAGACGATGGGCAAGACCCTACATAACTTCTACGCAATCTAAACGGATATGAGTCCAAAAGGACGATCCTTCTAAGAAGGCGCATTAAATTGAAGAATACCGTCTCTGGGAGTCGAAGTCTCCAAGGAAGGACTTCCAGTCGAACTTGCAAAGTCTAGCCCACTTGCACATCCCCAGGTCTCACAGAGAAATTCGACGTTTTGGTCGAAAATATTGTGGAAAACCAACAATTCCTTCAAATGAACCCGCAATATTGGGAGAAATATGTTAGCTATGCGAGATAGCAGTCTACATCGACTATCGGTCATATATATGTTAGTAGTGTTCGCAGTCAGAACAACGACAAAACTGAATATTTTCGCGAAATTATTTATTCTCCTAATGATTTGTTCGTTCCAATTGATTTTTCCCCAATCCTATGGTTCTAAAATATAATTCACAAATTGAGAACAAAATTAAAGTTTATCTGGAAATTTTTGACTATTTTTGAAAAACTGGGATGTGGTCCATGAGGAAGCGTGTTCGGATAAGATTGGAGATGTAGAAGGTGAGTATTGAGGATACGGCAGAAAACTTTAAATTGAAAAAGTTGAATGTTGGATGATTTGGCCGAGCTCCACAGTTTGTTTTGTATGCTAATGTTGATTTTGGTCCTAGTAGGTGTTGGAGTAGTCCATATATTTTGTTAAGTTATCGTCGTTTTAATCTTGTATGTGGATTCCATGTAAGTCTGCTACGTAAAACCCAATGTAGCGGACTTTGCTCGATCATGGTATTATCTTGTTGTTAACGTGCACTGGTAGACAGGTATGACGTTTGAGCTTTTTTGTTCTTTCAATCTGATACGCCACCGATTGCACCAGTCGGTAATGAGGTTCAGATGTTATTGGAGTTTCTGTGGCTAGGATGGGATTGGAGAGTGTTGATAAAATTACGGTGTCGTCCACGAAGGTTGTGAGTGGTGTGGGTATGTCAGCAGTGTAGATGGTAGAGGATTGGGCCTAGGATACTTCCTTGTAAAACGCCAGCTTTGATTGGGTGAAACGTGATGGGTGAAAAATCGGTGCCGATTCTCACTTTAAACCATCGATCCGAGAGGAAGGATGACTTAGTTAACCGTTTTAACTCATAAAGGAAGTGCCACACTCGGTAAAATGCTTCCGTGACGTCCAGAAATACGGCTGAGCAGTAGTTGTTAGAGTAGAATTGGTTGTTCTTTTTTGTAAAAATAGTTTATTTATTTGTTACCTATACATGATCGTACAATCATACAAATATGAACAGATGATTAATAGACCACACAGCACAGCATTAGCATTATGCCAGCACTGCACCGGTAGAACACATGCTTTGAGGAGCCAGCATTGCTGGCACTCAATGTGTATGATTAGGTGTTAAGGAGGTCCCTAGGCTACCGTCGGTTGAGGCGACGTGGTGGGTTGTCAGGATGGGAATGAGTTGAGAGGGCTTGAGCAGTATTGGTTGATGTCGTTCGAAAGGCTGGTGTGGAAGGTTTGGAATCTGGACTGGATCAGTTCGTTGATTGAAGGAATGTTGAGGTCTTTGCGGATAGTGATGTTACGACATAGGGTGCTTTGACAATTTGTCTAAGGACAATTGGAAGGGCTGGATGCGCTGGATTTTGGATTGCTTGGCAGTACCCTACAGTTACATTCCTTTTGTTCATATTGGTCTTAGTAAAGTCTTGTACAGTGTTAGCTTTGTCTTAGTCGTCAAAGTCGATTACGGTCTTAGAAGTATTCGCATTAGTCCAAGTCTTGTGTGGGGCCACGTCAATCTGCTATCGAGATATATTCCCAGGTATTTGACTTGACTGAAACTGGTAGCTTTTAGTTGTTGATGGACAATGGAGTGCAAGACTGCTTTTTCAGCGTCAATGTTCACTGAGTGCGTTTTTTCTTCGTTCAGTCTTATCCTCCATTGCTTACACCAGTCTTCGATAGGTGTTCCTGGATGTTGGAGGTAGCTTGGACAGGATTGGAATTAGAGGATTTCGGTGTCGCCCGCGTAGGTGGTGAGATTAGAGTCAAGATGTATAGTAGGTCAGCAGTATAAATGATATAAAGGATAGGACCAAGGATACTACCTTGCTGTACGCCTGTTTTGACCACCGAGAACTCATTAACCGAAATACAAAATGATTTCAGTTAAATAATTATAATTCGTATGACATTACGAAAGTTCTTTGTCTGATATTTGCCTTCGGGTTGGAGGAGGAACAATAGAATAGTAAATAAGAATTGTAATAAATTTTCCCTTATCATTTTTATCAATTTTTTCTACCGCCAAAAAATGATAAGAAAGGGTTTGTCAAGGTAATTGAACCTTATCTTTTCGCAACCTTGAAATGAAATCCGACCAGTTTTCGATTCACATTCAACACGAGATACCCAGTCATTCGGGCGGAGGATTTCGCCGAGGAGGACGACAACGGATTCGAACACGGCACGACAAGCCCTCGAACCGGCCGTTTCTTTATTTTCTTTTTAATACTCCTTTAGCGAAAGATGGACGTTCTCGACCCGAGGGATTCGTGCGATTTCATCGCCAAAATGTCGAAAAATGTCAAGATCCATCCTGAGAAGATCCGCCCCTTCACGGAGCACGTAAGGACCCGACAAAATGTTAACACCGTGCTAAACTTAACGTCGGAAATCTGACCGTCCACGACTTTCGCTTTACACATATTATGTTTATATTCAACATTTCAAAATTCGACACATATGCTCAAATATAAACTGTCTTCATGAAAAAACATGAGCGCCATTGACTAATGTCAATTCTTGAAAAATCATGATATAGTTTTGTTTTACATTTTTTATCAGAGAGAACAAGATTATCCCTACCCCAAAAAAAACTGCATATAAAAACAATAATAAGTAGTCTGTTACTAAGTTCACATACTTAGAATCAAAGTTATGCACCATTGTTGCGGGGCTGAATCTTCTTTGAATAAAGAGTGTTGAGATTCAGCCCGGCAACATGGATGATTTCATGGAACTTTGAGTCCAGTGGGTTAAGCTTTATTATTAATTAAACAACATTATATGATAATTAATAAATAAAGCTTAATCCACACTTGTATCTCACTCCTGATTCAAAGAAGATTCAGCCCAGCAACAATGATGCGCATCTTTGAATCCAAGTTTGGATTAACCTTCATTTATTAATTATCATATAATTATATTTGTTATATAATCCACCTACTACCCATAACCTACTGCTGTACCAAAGGGAGACGTCGTACTGGCAGAAGACGGCCACTAAATTAGTTTCTATGGTTTGCAAATTTAGGGGATCTTACAGTACTTAACTGCTTCCTTCAGCCTTGCCTTAAAATGGGAAGCCCAAGGAAGGTAGGGAAATATTTTTCTTATTAATAATTTATGTCTCCCCACACTGGTTAATTCTCTTGAATGGGGGGGGGGGTCAGTGGCCGCAACAGTTTAGGCGTTGACACGGTGCTCATCACCGTAAGGTAAAGGTCCGGGTTTGAATCCAACAGCCCTGCATTCAAACCCGACATAAACTAGTCAGAAGCAGCACAGGTAAGCCTTGAAACTTCCCTGCCCTGTCAGTATTTGGGTGATCCAGAAATTTGGTTGAACCCGCGAGGCTCTGGCTCGATCCGCAATACGGTAGAAACTTGTGGGTTAGCCTTCCCTTGAATCTTTCTGACACACATTTCCTGCCATGAGGTTTTGTAACCATACTGGTTAGTCCATCTTTACTTTTATTCAATGGCGGTTTCAACAAAAAAATATACCAAAATTTTTCATTTATTATGTTCCACTACAAAGACGAACTACATTGGAACTGTCTGTTATTATTTGAATTGAAATTTGGTCTGTACTGATCGTTTTGATCTGCCTGTCCTGGTGTAAACAGTAATGATAGGTTTCTGTGATTATGTGTTTTATTTGTTTATATTTTGTGACATTACATGATCATAATTTTTTCAGCTTCTTGAAGCACTTATTGAAAAAGAATTACGTCTTGGAAGTATTAAGGAGCATGAGACTTTTCCAGTATTGAATGCGGACGATTCCATCAACCTTGTCTTCCTCCTGGACACGCTAAATTTCTGCTTTTGGACAAAGAAAAATGAGGAAAAATGGTCGGTTGACTTTGAGGGCAAGACATACACCGGCTACTATGCATTGTGTGCGGCTGTCGCCAATGCAATAAAAGTGACTATCTTTTAAAATACTATCATAGAAATTATCACAGTTCGCATTTTCTTCTAGGAAAACATAAAGATTTACGATCCAAAAGTCTATTCGGCTTTCACCCTTGATATAGTGAGGAAGCTTTTTAAAGGTCGAGGCGGGAAGGACATTAACCTTCCCGGCCACAGGCTCAAATGCCTTCAGGAAGTCGGAAGAGTCCTTCTCCACAAATACGATGGTATGGAAACTTTAGTTTCGCATAATTTTTTTTTTTAATATTCAATTCATATCTTCAGGTGGATTTGCAAATTGTGTCAGGCTTGCTAACAGGTCTTCAGAACGACTTTTGAATCTTGTCGTGAGAGATTTTCCCTGTTTTAATGATTCTGCTCGATACCGTGGAAAAATTGGTGAGCGAGAGCAATTTATCAAAACTATTACTAAACTAGTTTGGTTATGTTTAAAATAGTAACGTACCCAAGAATTGCCTGCAAATTAACCAAAACATGTTTAAAAATAGGATCAAGCCAATGCAAAAGATTTAAGTGTAAAAAAAATTGACTGTAACTATACCCACTATAACCAAAACCAAAATAATCTGAATTGAATTTTATAAAACATTACTGCTAACCTTGAATTAAACAATACAAAGACAAGCTAACCTGAATTGTATATGGCAACAAAATCAGTGGCACTAACAAAACCATAATTCTAATTAGATAAACTATTACTACAAAGACAGTGCTGTCAAAGCCAGTGATACCAACAAAAATCTGATTATCCCTGATCTATATATTACTACAAAGACCTTTTTACCTTTTTTTTTTTTTTTTTTTTTTCCAATAGCCGTGAATGATATTACTATAAACCAAATTAACTTGAACTGGATATGACAACAAATACAGTGATAGCAACAAAGATCTAATCGATCAGCTTTGAATTGACTGTACCTACAAAGACAATATTACCAACAAAGGTCAACAATATAATCTGAATAGGCTTTTACAAAAAAGTAAATAAATAATAATAACTTGAAGTTGATTTTACAACAAAGAAATAATTAGTTTTGACTATCATTACAAAGAAAACCTTACTTAGAGACAACCAAATTTATTTGTTCTTATTTCATCTTTAAATAACAAGCTTTATCAATTATAAGTCATATCATCCCTGACTATCACTGTGATGAAGGATGATTGGAAAATTTCGACAAATACTTTATTTTGTATATAAATGTTTCATTAATTTTATTTACACTTTGGCTTTATTTAAACTGTTTTTATGTGTGTAAATGTTTCAGTTTCAATTCATAAAAGAGCTCAGATATTAGTCGCAGATATATGGTCACTTTATTATGGAAAAGGGATAAGCGAATTTACCGATATCGACTATATCACCATGTTTGCAGATTACAGGTGAATTTTTGTTGTAATTTTGTAGTTTATAACTAAAATTATATTTTTTGCCATGTATTTATTTATTTATCAATTAATATTTATATTTCAGGATTCCTCAAGTTCTTGTTCATTTTGGTGTTATGTCGTACAGCGATCAACTGCAACAGAAGCTTGAGAAGGGTAAGATTAGATAGATAAATGCTTATTTTTATTTAATTAATTAATTATTTATTTTTTAATCCAGAGGAGTTGCTTTTGAACGGTTCTGAAGAAGAGGTCGAGATTAGAGGCTGCTCAATAAAAATTGTCGAAATGCTCCTGTCCGATTTAAAACAGCTTATGGAGGAAAAGGGCAACTATTACTACTGCAACTCCATTATGATCGACAACTATCTCTGGATGTATCGGAGGAAGGAGGCCGACAAACTGGAATCGACACCCTTCCATAAAACAAGCTCCATTTATTATTAAGCTTAAGTGGACATTGTCGCACGTGCCAAATCGTACACACAGAACATTTTCACAAACAATAAATACTAATACAATTGATTAAAGTGTATTATATTTTTTTAAGTGTGTATCAAATAAGATAATTTACATGGTAGATTTTTTTTCCATCATACTTAAAACAACCCAATATTTTTGCATTTGTCTATTATCCTTACTTTCCTCTTAAATTTATTACTCACATTTATTTATCGTTTATAATAATTGTTAACCAAACTTTTACATAATTTTGCTTGTATTTTTCTGTTTTCTCTCTCTCACTCTCTCTCTCTCTTCTCTCTCTCTCTCTCTCTCTCTCTCTCTCTCTCTCTCTCTCTCTCTCTCTTCTCACTCTCACTCTCACTCTCTCTTTCTATCTATGTATTTAACTTTTGTTTAAATATTTTTAACATTAATAATTACAAAAAGAAAACAAAGGGGGTTATTTCAACTATGAGGTTATATGACCCCTCGGAGTGCTGTGTGTATTTTTTTTATAGAAAAAAAAACTTATTTTTTAGTATGTTGGGTTCGAATGCAGGGCTGCTGGATTCAAACCCGAGGGTTTTTTACCTTAAGGCAATGAACACTGTATCAATGCCTAAACCGTTGTGACCACTGACGTTCCTTTTTTTTGTACATTGCTACATGCAATGGTGCAAAGTGCATTCTTTCTATACTAATATGAAATTGAAAACATGAAAGATAAGAAAATATGTTTAAAAAATTCTTCTATAAGATAATAGTGACCTGATACGTAGTTTTTTTTTAAGCTAGTTTATTATTATACATTTAATTTTTTATTTTGTTTTACCACAAAGCACATAAATTCAAGATACCGGGCCTGCATTCTGATAGCTTTCCAAAGACTTTTAAATCCAGTTGGAGTTTTTATTTTGCAAAAAACCTTTATTCAGTTTAACAAATTTATCAAGAGTAATTAAAATTAATTATTTTATTATAAATTAATTTAAGAATCGATCCTTCTCTTGATATTCACATTGAAATCCCCCACAGGTGTTCCGGGAGGTTGCAAAACTGTTACCAGATGTTTATTTGGACCCTGTCACATTTTTGATAACACCAGGATTTAATAATTATTGCATATTTAAGGTTTTATTTTAACCAAATAGATAGTTTAATTAACCAATTTGACGAAAATGGTCAAGACCATAAGCACATTGAATGCGAAAAAGAAGTTGCTCGACTCATTGGGCGAGAACCAACAACTGTAAGTGTGAAATACCAATTGTTATTATTCTAATTCACGATTTAACGTAAATTCTTGTCTAGCTTATGCAATGAACCGTAATAAATACGAAAAAGTTTAATTTAGAAAAGAATTTTGGTTTTAATTAGTGTGACACTGGATTCACGGTCAAAGAAAACTGAAGTGCTATTTGTACAGTCTACCTTAATCATCATTGAGTTTTGTATCCTCTCTGTTAAACATGTTTGTAGGTCATTATGAAAAGCTGGCTCGGTTTGTTCCTTAATAACAGCAGTCAACTGTAACGAATACAAAGATCTTTATTGATCACTGTCTATGTTTTAACAGCTTCCAAGTCCAATACCAATACAGTCATGTAAAAATTAAACGTTTCATACCTTTATTAATAACATTAATCGTGACGGATAATGTGTTTTTGTTGTAATAGTCAATTTGTGTCAATGATCAATCATGGAGTTGTAATAAATCAGATGGTACGCTTCTGTTGTAAAAGTTGTGGACCGTTGAGTTTGGCTAGTGTTTTTGTTGTAATAATCAATTTGTGTCATGACCAATCATGGGGTCATAATAAATCAGAAGGTAGGTACACTTCTGTTGTAAAAGTTGTGGACAGTTGAGTTTGGCTGGTGTTTTTGTTGTAATAGTCAATTTGTGTCAATGATCAATCATGGGGTCGTAATAAATCAGATGGTACACTTCTTTTGTAAAAGTTGTGGACCGTTGAGTCTGGCTGGTGTTTTTGTCGTAATAGTCAATTTGTGTCAATGATCAATCATGAGGTAGTAATAAATCTGATGGTAGGTACACTTCTGTTGTAAAAGTTGTGGACAGTTGAGTTTGGCTGGTGTTTTTGTTGTAATAGTTAATTTGTGGCAATGGGGTCTTAACAAATTTGATGGTAGACTTTATTGTAAAAGTCGTGGACTGTTGAGTTTGGCTGGTATTTTTGTTGTAATAGTCAATTTGTGGCAATGATCAATAATGGGGTCTTAACAAATTTGATGGTAGACTTTGTTGTAAAAGTCGTGGACTGTTGAGTTTGGCTGGTGTTTTTGTTGTAATAGTCAATTTGTGTAAATGATCAATCATGGGGTCATAATAAATTAGATAGTACACTTTTGTTGTATAAGTTGTGGACAGTCAAGTCTGGTTAGTGTTTTTGTTGTATTAGAAAATTATTGTTTACTTTATTGATAATTTCATGAGATACAATTAAACTGCTTTAAATAGTAAAGGATTTAAAATGTTTTAAACAAATGTATCACTTTTTTCTTTTTCTTAGATACTGGACTCTGATGAAACAGTGGTTCATGATGAAGGTGAGCATTTTGTTTGTTAACAATCCAGTAGTTTATTTAATTTGTTTATTACAGATTACAAGGGAAGAGTTTGATATAGAAGTGGATAAATTTTTAACTGCGGAACAACGCCACCTGCACAACCAATTTTTGCTCAATATGATGCACAAATGCACCGACATCGTTCTACCACAATCTGGAAAATTTGAAGTTTGTTTCGTATTCAATTATTAACGGGCATGTTAAAAAAATTAATTCCTTTAACAGGGACAAACTACAAATTTTGCGATACCAGAGAAGCAAGAGGTCAACGCTGAAATGCCGCTCGGCATGGCGAGTGAAGGCCTGCTGTACGACCACTCGGCTATGCTGGCCCGAATGCGATACGGTGCTTGGGAAATGGGCCTGGAAGGATCCTCGTCCAACGCAGCTCAATTGTTACTCATGGCCATGCAGGTAAATTTGAAATACTACAGAACAATTTTTTGAAAAATAATTGCCAATTCTACTGTAAAAGAATTTCTTGAAAAACATCGTAACCGCTGTTGTAATGAAGAGAAAAGATTTCAAGAGGAAGAAAAATGGCTACATACAAAAGCTGGGCATGCCGTCTATCAATCCTTGGTACTCTAAAATCGGAAATGATATACTTTCAGATCCATTTGAAAGGTATTTCACATTTTATTACATATAAAATTTCATTTTCTAATATGAATTTAATTTTAGTTTACTAGTGGATGAGAATATCGAGGGATACTTGGTACCAAATATGAGGAGGTCGCCTGAAGAGGTGGAGAGAGAAACTGTATCGTTACGGTTGATGTCTAAGGAGACTGTTCTCGCCCCGGTCTCACTCTACGATTTAATCATGACCCTTAAGGTACACCCATGATGAATTTACAAAATCTTCTCTAAATTAACGAAAGATATTTTTCAGCTTTATCCCAGTCTGGTCTCGTCCAACTTCGTCAACACGGTGAACGTCGAAAGGATCTATGCTCGCTTGCGCCAGCCCAATTGCGAGATATAGCTCAAAATGCTATCAGACGAGCGCTGCTTGGGTGATGCCCATGGTGCTTACCGCATCATGATAGAGGACTTGTTGCCAAATTTAAAAAAAAAGATGAATTCCATGACTGACGAGTTTTTTTTTTCTGTTTGAAAATGTAGAAAAATGTATATAACTGTAAATAATAAAATAACACGTTTCAAATTGTTATCACCCCCTTTTAATTAGTTGGTATTTAAATAGATTTGTATTTTACATATTCATGGCAAAAGTGTTTGTCTTATGTTCACAAATTTTTTTAAACTGAAAATGAGACAATAATAGAGATTTTTCTTTAATTTTTTGTATATTAATGTAAATGTTCATTTGGTCATTGCCTTGTCTTTGTTGATGTTGGGAAAAATTTATTAATTATTATTATTATTAATTGCTGGTAATAGTCTTTCAATGTCAAATTAAGCTGATTGATTTTTTTTTACTGTGGTGAAAGCGCTGACAAATCTTTGCTGGTTAGCGAGTTTTTTCACAACCACCAGTTAATTTGTTGGTGTTATATTGTCTTTGTATTATGGATCAATTCATTGTTGGTGTTACAATGTCTTGGTATTATAAGTCAATTATTTGTAGGTGCTATGTTGTCTTTATGTTGGTGTTTAACGTTACCTTGTCTTTGTATTATAGGTCAATTGTTTGTTAGTGTTACATTGTGTTTGTATTACAGGTCAATTATTTATAGGTGCTATATTGTCTTTGAATTACAGATCAATTATTTGTTAGTGCAACATTGTCTTTGCATTATAGGTCAATTATTTGTGAGTGCTATATTGTCTTTGTATTATGGAATAATCCTTCATTGGTGTTACATCTATCTATTATAGTATAATTATTTGTTAGTGTTGTATTGTCTTTGTATTATTGACCAATTCTTTGTTAGTGTTACAATGTCTTGGTGTTGTAGGTCAATTATTTGTAGGTGCTATATTGTCTTTAGGTTGGTGTTACATCTATGTACTATAAGATAATTATTTGTTAGTGTTCCATTGTCTTTATCAGTCAATTATTTGTTGGTGTTACAACGTCTTTGTATTATAGGTCAATTATTTGTTAGTGCAACATTATCTTTGTATTATAGGTCAATTATTTATAGGTATTATTAATTGCTGGTGATATCCTTTCAATAAGTGAAATCAAGCTGATTGATTTTTTTTACTGTGGTGAAAGGGCCGACAAATCTTTGTTGGTTAGTTTTTTTTTACAACTGCCTGTTAATTTGTTGGTGTTATATTGTCTTTGTATTATTGGTCAATTCTTAGTTGGTGTTATGTCTTTGTATTATAGCTCAATTATTTGTTAGTGCAACATTGTCTTTGTATTATAGGTCAATTATTTATAGGTGCTGTATTGTCTTTGTATTATAGGTCAATTATTTATAGGTGCTATATNAAAAAAAAAAAAATATCAACAAAGTAACTTAATGTTAGTAATGTTGCATTTTTTGCGTGAAAAATACGGCCAGGGGTGACGGTGGGATCGAACCCACGACTATGGGGTTTAAGAGCTGAGAGTCTAGCATGCTAGCCACTTAGCTACCGCGGCCCCCAGAAATTGTTCATGTTACATTGTCTTTGTGGGGTCAATCCTTGTTTTTTATCTTGTAAGTCAATGCACAGGTATTTAGTTTTACCATGTCTGCAATAAACCGTCAATTCTTTGTTGGCTACGGTATCTTTTTATGAACCATAAATTATTTGTTAGGCTAGTTGGCGGTCTTTAACTTGTCTATTTAATAGGTTTTGTCTTTAACTGGTGAGGGAGGTAATAAATGGTAGAAAGTGTTTTTTTTTTAAATATTTTTGTTTAATATAAATCCATGAAAAATTTAAATTTGATTTATTCAATTTTTTTACCTCTGCGTACAAACAATTAATGAGATCTAAACCTATGTTAACAATAAATAAATAACAAGTGTTTTTCCTCTGTAAATTAAGTACTTAGCCAATAACACACAAAACATTAAAAAATTAATATTCAGGAAACATTGGAAATACTCATTAGAATGATATGTATTATTGTCTATAAAATGTTAAAACAGTCACAATGTTAATGAACTAAAGAGGATATTTGTTTAGTAAAATATGTTTTATTTAAACTATGGCAAGAATGAGCAAAAATATTAACAATTTTAGAATCTTATTACAATAAGAAAGGACGTCGTTATTTAATACAGGTATATTTACAGTCCTATTCTGGAAGGGGGTTTGTTTGATATACATTTTTAAGAAAAAGGATTTATAAAAAATCATTCTGGTGCACTACTGAATTATCGTAAAAGCTACAAAAATACATACATACAATATATTTTATCCTTGCGTTCTGTATGCGCATGTAAAAAAAGAAAAAACAACAAAAAAAACTAACACAACCTGGAACCTTTTTTCCTGAATAGTTCACACTTTGGAAAGGGCGTTTCGCAGGAATGACAAGACAGCTTTTTAGACCTGTACTGATGAAAACTGCCCTATCTTTATTCAATAACGAGGAGAAGGGAGGGATCGACTATCATCACGACGAGCCGTACTCTGCCATCCATTTGTCATACTTGTCTAAGTCCTCTTTAGACACACTTTTGTTGCATTTCATTATGGCTTCTACAAAGTCTTGTTTCGATACTGGAAGATCCAAATCTTCTTTGGCAAGTTGTTTGATTTGTTCGGGCCTTAGACCCGCAATTTTTCTCCTCATCGACATCATTGACGCATCCCTGGAAAATAATTGAAACAGTAAATATAATTATCGATATCCTGTGTGCAGGCTCGCGTGTTGATTGTTTTTGTAGATCCTGGAAAAATCAGTTAAAGTTAGAATTTGGTTGTTGTCATTGTTATTATAAATTTGTTGATACCACAAATTTATCTTTGTCAATATTGTTGTCTGTGTTGTACAATACAACTTAGGTTAGCATATCGGACTTTGTAGGTAAGTGGCTTTGTGGAAATGTCAAGTCTGAGGGTTTTATAAATTTGTTGCAGTACAGCAGTAGTCAATTCTGATGAGGCAAGTTCTTGTCTTTGTAGTGATAGTAAATTTGTTAGTACCATAAATATTTTGCAGTAGTCAATTCTGAGGTAACTATATCTTTGTTAATTTTACTTTGTTGGAAGATACACTTTAGGTTAGCTTATGGGTCTTTATTGGTGGCACTGTTTTTTTTTTTTTTTTTTTTTTAATAGTAATTGTCAAATCTGACGATACAAGTTCTTTTTTGGTAAAATTGTCTTTGTAGTGACAGTCAATTCTCAGGGTTTTATAAATTTGTTGGTACCATAAATATTGTTGCAGTAGTCAATTATGAGGTAACATGTTAACATTACTTTGATGTAAGATACAATTTAGGTTAGCTTACCGTTGGTAACATTTTTTTTTTAGTTTTGTCAAATCTGACGAGACATGTTCTTTGTTGGTAACATTGTCTTTGTAGTGATAGTCAATTCTGAGGGTATTATAAATTTAGCATAAATACTGTTGTAACTATAATGTTAACATTACTCTCTTTGTTGCAAAATACAATTTAGGTTAGCACATTGGTCTTTATTGATAACATGTTTTTGTAGTAATTGTCAAGTTGGACAGTTTCTTTGTTCTTTGTCGGCATTACTGTTTGTACTGTGAAATACTATTTAGATTAGTATATTTTTTTTGTTGGTAACAATGTCTTTTTGGTGTTAGTCAATTTCATGGCTATTAGACCTTTGTTGGTGCCGCAACTTTTATTGAAGTAGTCAATTATGAGATAATTTTTGTTGGAAACATTGCTTTGTTACAGTATTTAATTTATGTTAGAATTGCAGTCAATTGTGGAGTATCAATTTTTTTTAACAACAGTGAGTGTAGTAATAATCAAATAAATTGTTGGTGTCATGATACCTTTCCAGTTAAACCAATTTCTTTGAGTTACAGAGTACATTACTGTTTTGTTAGAAGTTTTGAGTATTGATGTTATTTAATAATAAAAAATAATAAAATTTGATTGAACTATTTACCTGCACACATTGGTGATGTCTGCACCCGAATAACCTTTCAGTCTTGCTGCGATGTCATTCATGTCGACATCTGGTTCAACTTTGACATCTCTTAAATTAATCCTCAACAAAGCTTCCCTTCCTTCGTCTACAAAAACATTATTTATTTAACAGTTTAATAATTACTATGTTTTTGAAATAATAAAAAATATATTTCTTACTGTTGGGTAGGGGGATGTAGATTCTTTTTTCCAGTCTTCTCCTTAATGCTTCATCAATATCCCAGGGGAAGTTTGTCGCTGCGAGTACCATGACGACTTTGGTAGAATCCTCACTGTTGGAGCTGATGCCGTCCATCTGGACAAGGAGCTCTGACTTTACGCGCCGTGAGGCTTCATGCTCGCTCTCAGATCCCCGCCGAGAGCAGAGTGAGTCTATCTCGTCAATGAAGATAGTCGACGGCGAGTAGAATCTTTAAAAGGAAATGAAACAGGGTGAAATTACCTGATGGTTTTAAATCGTGATTCCACCAACCTGGCCATCTCGAACAGAAGCCGCACCAGCTTCTCTGACTCGCCCCTGTACTTTGAAGTGAGCGTAGACGAGGACACGTTGAAGAACGTCGTCCCGCATTCGGTCGCCACTGCTTTTGCAAGCATCGTCTTGCCTGTTCCTGGCGGCCCAACCATAAGAACACCTTTCCAAGGCCTTCTAATCCCCTATTGAACATAAAAATACATATTAATATTTTATACATTAAAAACCACAAATATTTGAATTCAAAAGAATTGAAAAAACACCCTCTACTGACCTTAAAGAAATCTGGCATCCACATAGGAAGAACTACTGCTTCTTCAAGTAGTCGTTTTGCTTCTTTGAGATCAGCAATGTCATCCCACCGTATATTTGGGTTTTTCTGAACAATATCCCTTTCTACAAAATGACAACAATAAATATCATTCTGATTTTTTAAAAATTATTATTATTTTAAATAGTATATATGCACCTAGCATTTCAACGAGGTCATGATCGTAACCACTTGGGTCAAACTTCCTGTCCTCAATGCTGTCCTTGTTTTCAGATTCTTTATTATCTTTTTCTTTATCAATTTTTTCATTCTACAATAAAACGAACGAGTTTGAATAAAATTCAGCGAAATTCAGAGATACGCTAATTACATGATTGCCATTTTCCTTCCTGTTGGTCCCCGGTCGACTTTTGTCGTCGTTTTTACGATTTGTGAGCTTGTTGGCATCGTTGCGACGTGTAAGGGTGTTGGTTGGTTTGGAGTTTTTGCCCTTGGCTGTCTGCTCAGTCTTCTTAGCCTGTGGCCTCTTAACAGTCGTCCTGTAAAAAATTGAAAATTAAGAAGAAAACCCCGGGATATTTTTTACGAGAGTCAAACCTGTGATCGACTGGAGTCGGCGGCGGCCAGACGTCCGGGTCTCTCTGCTGTGGCATCGACCAGACATCTGGTTCTTTTGGCGTACCCATCCATATTATATGTGGATCCTTGGTTGGCTCGTCGAAACCAAGCACTTTATTCATTTGCACTCCTGAAAAAAAAAAAAAAAAAAAAAAAAAAAAAAAAAAAAAAAAAAACTTTAATTACATTGACCCAAGTATGGTAATTTGTTTTATCATAAAAAATACTTTAAAGTAGATTATATAACATAAATAATAAACCCAACCATCCCTAACCATTTACCCTGTCATTTAGCAGGAATATTAAAAATAACAAGAGACAAAAATGTATTATTTGTCTCAATCAAGACTTTTACTTTGTGCAATTAATAAAACAATAAAATGATACTTTTATTCTGTTTGTTGTTCAATATTGTTATTTATTGAATATTTATTTTATAATTTTCCATGTCATGTTTATTTTCCAAGCTTAAAATATTTCTGAATTCAACCAATATCAGGTTAACTAATCTTTATAAGGGGTGTCGGTAGCCACAACAGTTTAGGAGTTGACACTTCACTCATCACTGTAAGGTAAAGGTCTCGGGTTCGAATCCAGCGGCCCTGCGTTCGTACCCAATATACTTACAATTTTTTTTTTTTTTTCAAAAACACCAACGCCCCGAGGGTTGATATAACCTCTGCTGTTGTAAACTCTCAGGGGAAAAAAATAAAAAAATTATATATATATATATATACAGGGTGAATTGCTACTCGTGCTACAAACTTCTCCAGTAGATTCTTCACCCTAAAATGAACAAAAAAGTTCATATTGTCCATGGTCCGATTCTCAACCATTTCAGAGTAATTTCGCTTTTTATCGATTTTGAAAGATATCACGTCCTGGCGTCGGAAAATCGTGATATCTTTTAATCTAAACATTTCTCTGAAAATCTAATAGCACCGTTGAAATTCCCGTTAATTTTTCAATAAGAAGATGACGGTGGCAAAATGTTTGGGCTAATTTTTTGTGTTTTATTTCAGCCAGAACTACAAAAAGAGTGGAAAATTGTGTAAATCGGAAAGTGTATAAAGTAATCCAGAGTTTCTAAGTTTAGTCTCAGAAGGCAGCAAATTTGAGGAAAACTACCTGATTTAATAACGCTTCCAACGCACTCGTCATTTTCTTATTTAGTGGTTGTGAGACCAAGATGTTGATGACAAAAAGAGAAAAAATGGTGGTTCAAGGATTGCTAATGTTTGAGAGTGACTTGCTACTCGTGCTACAAACTTCACCAGTAGATTCTTGACCCTAAAATGAACAAAAAAGTTCATATTGACCATGGTCCGATTCTCAACCATTTCAGAGTAATTTCGCTTTTTATCGATTTTGAAAGATATCACGTCCTGGCGTCGGAAAATCGTGATATCTTTTAATCTAAACATTTCTCTTAAAATCTATAAGCACCGTTGAAATCCCCGTTAATTTTTAGAGAGAATCAAAATCATAATTCCATTGAAATTTTTTAATTTAATTTAATGCCCATTTAGTATGTAATGCTTAAGAAGTTTACAAACAGCTAGAAGGTCAAGGAAGAAAGACCCAAACGTTTTGCCACCTTCATCTTCTTATTGAAAAATTAACGGGGATTTCAACGGTGCTATTAGATTTTCAGAGAAATGATCAGATTAAAAGATATCACGATTTTCCGACGCCAGGACGTGATATCTTTCAAAATCGATAAAAAGCGAAATTACTCTGAAATGGTTGAGAATCGGACCATGGACAATATGAACTTTTTTGTTCATTTTAGGGTGAAGAATCTACTGGAGAAGTTTGTAGCACGAGTAGCAATTCACCCTGTATATATATATATATAAATGTTAGAACTGAGAACTTTACTTGAGAAATTTTCTTTATAAACATGATATGTTCCTATATAATTTGTTTAAAATGTTTTTCCTCTTTCTATTGTTTTTAATAGAATATATATTAAATTGTATTAATAGAAACAATATTTGGTTTGTCTTTTAGTAATAGTCAATTTCCAATTAATTATGTTTTTGTTGGTGGCTGACTGTTATTGAATGGATGTTTTCATTTGTCTTTGTAGCATTAGCAGTCAGTCATTGTTGGCGTTTTTCTGTTTAGTAAAACCTTATTTGTATTAGCAATCAATTCAACATCACAAATCTTTGTTGGTGGTGTTTTCGTAGTAATGGTCAATTAACACAAATATTGGCCATTGTTGGTCGTAACTTTGTAATAAAAGCCTATTAATACTAAAAGTCAATGAAGGTTGTTTAAACTTTAGTTGTCAGTGTCTAATTGGGTCTTTCTTGGTAGCATTTTTCTAGTACTTGTACTAGCAATCAGTTATTAAAGTTTAGTTTCTCGCAGTCTTTATAGTAATAGTTCAATAATATGATTCTTGTTTGTTGGTAAAGACTTAATAGCAAATGTCAATTCCTACCAGAAATAAATTCAAGAGGAGAAATTTTTTTATGACAATGTCTCTGTAGTAAAAGTAAAAGTCAACACAAATTCATTCTCACCCCACCTCAAATTATTTCTATAGTCAACACAATACTCACACCTTAAATCAAATTTAAAAGAAGTAAATATTTGTTAGCAGTAATGTCTTTGTAGTAAAAGTCTATTAGTATTAGCAGCCAATGCAAAATTAGTAAAATATTTTTTAAAATTAAAATAGGGGCAATTCTTCCCATGTATGCACTTGTGTGCACTATGTGCAGAACCACGCCGGACTTCTCGGTTCTTACTTGTCTTTGGCGNTTTTTTAATTAATAATTAATTAAAATATTTTTTCTTTCTCCTATGTCTTTTTTGTCTACGTTTTTTTGTACTTTTTTATTAATGGTTTAATTTTTCTTATTTATAGGACTTTTTTGAAAGAGGTTACAAAAATTAACATAGTAGATTGAAATTTTTTTAGCCATCTTTAAAAGGTCTAATTAAAAAAAAAAAAATCAATGAAGAAGTACTAGTAATAATAACTAATCAATTTAAGTGTAATTAAATATTTATCGGTGGCAGTGTCTTTGTTGGTTGCAGTTTTGTAGAAAAAGTCTTTTTATACTAACCATCACTTCAAGGCTAGCAAAATCATTGTTGGCAGTGTTTTTTTAGTACTAATAGTAAACCAAGAATGCTTGAGCCTTGCAAATGATGTTTTTCTTCTAAGTCCTTTCATTGTTTGTTGTCCTTTTTTGTGGATGGCTTAATTTTTCTTATTTATAGGACTTTTTCGAAAGCGGTTAAAAAAATTAACATAGTAGATAAAATTTTTTTAAACCATCTTCAAAAGGACTATAAATAAAAAATAAATAAAAATAAACAATCAAATAAAATAATCAATGCAGACCTATATACAAGTAATAATATCTAATCAATTTATATGTAGTTAAATATTTGTTGGTGGCAGTGTATTTGTTGGTTGTGGTTTTGTAGTAAAAATCTTTTTTACACTAAACATCACTTAAAGGCTAGTAAAATCTTTGTTGGCAGTGTTTTTTTTTAGTACTAATAGTAAACTAAGAATGCTTGAGCCTTGCTAGTGAGGCAAGTCATCTTTCTTCTCAGTCCGTTCATTGTCTATGTTTTTGTTATCCTTTTTTTATGGATGGTTTAATTTTTCTTATGTATAGGATTTTTTATAGGAATTTAAAAAAAATTAACATAGGTTGAAATCTTTAAAAGGCCTATAAATAAAATAATCAATGAAGAATATACTAGTAATAATAACTAATATTTTTAAGTATAGTTGAATATTTGTTGGTGCAGTTTTCTAGTGAAAGTCTATTTGTTTAATGAATGTTTATTTTTGCAGTGGTCTGTTTAAAGTTCTTACTTAAAACTAAAATAAATATAGATTACCTAGTGCTTTATAATGAAACGAGTAGTCCATATTAATTGGAGGTGCAATACTTATTATTCTGAAAGTCAAATGATAGATGTGCGCAAAACAACATTAAAAAAAATAATAAAAACAACAAAAACAGTTGGTGTACTTCATGCAGTCAATGCCAATCTCTAACTGGGACAAGTTCCATCCCGGTCCCACTCCTGCCTATCCCCCACCCGTCTCTCCCATTCAACCCCACACACTCACACACCAAGAGGCTCACCTATTGGCCGGCTGTTTGGATCCCTCCTGAAGAGCTGGAGAGTCGAAAGGATCCTCTGGAGTTTCTCATGCTCCTGGGAAATCTGATGCAGGACCAGCTGCCACTTGCTCCGCCTAGTCGTGTCGGCTATCGTAAGAAGCAGCTTCTGAATCCTGTGTATTACCTCTGAGTATATGACACTGGACGTCTCGTAGTCTCCGAAAATCGCCTTTTCCCTCGCCAGTTTCGTATGCTCACAGATTTCATTTATGGACACTGCCATTACTTTCATTACTACTGGGAAAAAAACAAAAACAACCAAATAAAATAAATAAAATCAATACTTATTATTCTGAAAGTCAAATGATAGATGTGCACAAAACAACATTAAAAAAATAAATAAATAAAAAGATTGAAGGGTCTTGTATTAACTTTATCAAAATGTTATTAATCAAGGAAGACATCCTAGATAGGATAGGATGATATATCAAACAACTTCCCAATCTGTATTTAAACTATGTATTATTTAAAGAACCTATTCTACAAGTAATATATGTCACATGGGACATGGAAGGCGCTTAGGAAGAACCAATTAAGGAGATAAAAAGTAAATAAAAAACTAAAACAAGCCATATCGATGTACAATGGTTAAATCAAACCAACATGTTTTTTTTTCATACATAAATTAACACATACAAAAATTAATTTTTGTGTTAGAGATGATTTTTTTTAATAGCCTTAAGACAGAATTGAAAAAAAAACCTTATCATCTCAATTGTTTACCCAGATCCTTGTGCGTTTGTGCTTTAGTTTAACCTTGGGATAGATAATCAGGCAGAATTTAATAAATTTATAATTGAAATGGAATAATAAATAGCTCGACAAAATTTATGACAGTATTAATGCAATGTAGATTCATATGTAAAAAAAAGTGTGAGTTTAGTTTGACATGGTTTTTGATATTTGTGTCGTTAGTGCAAATAAACATGTATTTATGTGTGTATATAAATGAATAAATACCGTAAAAAACAAAATCAGAACAAAATCATCCTAAACGAGAAACAGTTATATAACAATCAAATAGGATTATTAAAAAAATTAAGGGAAATAATTTTATATCGTTGCCTGATTGCAATTTCAAAATTGACAAATTGCAACTGTGCTGAGTTTCAAAAACTGGGAATGTCATTATGACGAGACATCATTCAGGCTAGGCTCGAAATTTCATTTGCCACAGAAACGCATGACAAATGGCTTTTTGATGGGTTAGACGATTTTTCCTTGACATTTAAACAATTTCTTTGGAGAAAAAATGATTATTATTGAAATCCTCTGGGTCATCAGCAACTGAAAATGCTTTCACACACAAAATAAATGCGTGTCGACAAAATAATGAAAAGTTTTTCCATTTTGTAGATACTATCGGGTTGTCCGGAAAATAATGCAGGATTTTAAGTTTTCATTAAAAAAAAATCTATATAAAATATTCTGTTTACGTTTACAGGATTACTCATTTGTATGAATGTCAACACTTATTAATCCTCTTCCAAATATNTTTTGATTAAAGAACATTGCTTTAAAGTAACTAGTTTCTTTTTTTTTGTTTAATACCAAAATCCTGCATTATTTTCCGGACAACCCAATAGTTATAATTAATTTTAAAAAAAATCATGGAGTTGAAGGTTTTTCCCAACTACTTAATTGACTATACTAATTAATAGTATTCTCAATTTAGAAAGACAGTTTGTCTTTATTAAAAGCTATGCAGGCATTAACAAAAGATTTTATCTTTAATAAAGAGCTGCAATAGCCTACCTGTATATAAAGGAGCAATTAAATCTTCGGGAGGAACTTCAGACAGATAAAGTACCTCCGATACGAAAGGGATCCCAGTTAATGTCTGGTGTACAGACTGAGTGTAGCTATTTTATGTTAGTAAACCATGGACTTCACATATGCCTTGGGAAATATATTGCCATCAGTTAGGTGGAGGCTGAGTCCATTCAACACATCACCAGGGAGATCAGGAGCCTGGCTATTATCAATAAAATAATAACCATAGGGTAGCCATACAGCTCTTTAAAGGGAACTACATCATTGGTAGTAAAGTCCAGAGCCATTTAGGATTGGGGGCAACAACAAAATTACTCTTGTGTTGATACCAGAACATAAGGACAATGAGAAGGCTGATAAATTGGCCAAGCAAGTTAAATGATAACAACTATCAGCATGAAAAAGTTCAATCAGAGGACGGAAGAATTACCAAACCTAGGTGTTAGGACTAGAAAACTAGTAGGACTGCTGACAGGACAATGCATATGAACTCAGGGCAGCTTTGCGATCTGTAAAAAATCTGAAGATTAAGGAAAAGTCTTGGATAATAGGGAATATTTATAGACAAATATTGATCGCAGTGTGCAAGTTCATAATAAAAAAAACCAACTCCTTTTAACCTTTAACCTTACCTTTAATAATTAATATTTTGTATAGTGCATAAATATGGGAGTCTGCTGGGTCCAGGACATATGGGAGTAGAAGGCAACGAGAAAGCAGACTCCTCTGCAAGGAAAGGGGCTGCTATACTGCTGATAGGACCCGAGCCATTCTGTGGCAAAGTAACCCACAATCAATGAGTACCTCAGTTAGAAGAACAAAAAGAAAATGAAGGTACAATGGAATTCACTCATTGGACACAAACAATCCAAGAATCTCCTAACAAATTTCGGAAGGAAAGAAGTTTCAGAATGTGTCGAAGGAAGCAAGGTAAATGGACATTTAAAGAAGATTGGAATAATCCAAGACGGTACGTGCAGATTTTGCAAAGAGGCAGAGGAGACACCAACTCACCTATTAAAAAACTGTGATGCTACACTTGCCTGTAGGAGGAAGTGCTTTGGGATGTACAATGTGATTATAGAAGAGATTCAGCCACCGAAATCAGGCCTACTAATCAAGTTCCTTGATGAAACAGGACTCACCGGTGTGCTTTAGGCAGTGAATACAATAGCTTTTAAAGGGCGCAGTATATTACACTATGACCAATACATCTACTACATCTAGACATCTAGTGCGTAAACCACCAAATGTTTATGACTTTAAAAATAAATAAAAAATACAATAATTAATCATCAAAAGAAAAATACCAATTTTCCAAAAGATAAAGTTTAAAATTACTTTTTTTTATAACGTCTGTTACCTACATTAGTAGTAATATTATGACTGTATTCAATGTTTACTTGCTATTTAAATGTATAAATACAGGTAATAAATATATAAAATACCGATGTCTCCAAATTTACAGCAAAAAAGAAATGAGAAAGAGAGAGAGAGAGGGAGGGAGAGAGAAGACATGGTTATTATGAATTTTAATGATAATTTGTTTGGGATGTTATCATGACAAAATGTCATTGACTTTCAGCTTAAGATTGCTCATGTCATGACTAATGATGTTTGTCAAGTAGAAAATTTATCAAGAATTTTTTTTATGTTTAGCTTTTTTTCTTTGTTAATTAAATATCAATAATAGATGTGATGTACAATATTAATTCCTATTTATATACATAATTGTATTTTAAAAACAAACAAGTTATTTGAATTTACACCCAGGAATTATTTATTTGAAAGGAAATGTTTGGATTTAAGTACTTTTAAACATTAAAATTGTACTGAATTTGAATCATCGATGACATTTCCAAAGCCGTACAAGTGATCTGGCAAATTTTCTAATGTAATCATTTATTCATTGCTGCAAATAGCATCAAAATACATAATCATTTGTATACGCAAGTGCTATTGTCATCTCAGGTTGGAAATATTAAAAATTTTATTTACTTTTTGTTAAAAATTCATCACATATTAGATCATACTTGATCCTCCTGGTTGGTAACAAATATGTAGTATGTTTATTGTTTTATGATAGGCAGGTTCATTCAAGATGTAAGATGAAATTGATTACTATTTAACTAAGTTAATGTGGGGCATGCCCATTTTGTCCCACCAATTATTGGTTTTTCTTGTTCTATTTTTACCGAGAACTACAAAAAGAACACAACTGGTAGAGCATGCAGCATGAATAGAAAAAGAATAGAATTCAACAACTTGATCAAGGATGACGGACAAGCCAAACTAATATCCACACAGTTCCTTTTTATTGAATGACAAATATGTCTTTTTTCAATTTTCACTTATAGCTGATAGTTCTTTAAATTTGATTTTCACCCATACCAACAGAAACATATTCAAAGTTGGTTAAAATATAAAACAAATAATCACCAGGTGGTATCCTATAAATGATTGACATTAGAATTTATGGTTAATAAAACTCAATGGTAAAAACATGCAACAATAGAGCAGATCTGGGATGATAAAAGGTGATCAAACTGACAAATCATAAATGATCATTTATCTCATAATTATAATCATTATATTTTTATGGTAGTCAACAAAAAACTCAATATGGTGAAATTGTGACAAGAGTACATCAGATCAAAATGATATTATCAGCTATGATCAAAACTAGATACAACTAATCATTAATGATCACTGGACTGGCTCAGCTAGATAGATTGGTAATTTCTGGAATCACTTAGATTTTCAAGCTTGTCGATAGAAAAATGACTCAAAATGGTGAAAATGTATAACAAGAGTGTCAGATCATTATGATCAGGTGTGATCAAAACTACAGACAATTAATTATCCACAATAACCAGGTTTCCTTCATAAAATGATAAGATATTTTAGTATGGTATTTCTCAGGGAAAAAATTCAAATGGCAAAGAAATACAATAGAGAAGAGAGGGCCAGCCAGGATGACCAGTTGCAATTGCAAGAATTATTCATAAATCATTAATGTTCATCAGGCCATCTCAACATAAATGATAACATGAGTTTATCATTGTGTATTTTGATTTTCACAATAGTAACATATGACAAGAATCAAACTAGAGACAAACAGTGAAATAATGATATCAATGGCCTGATTTTGTCAGCTAGAAAGACCAATATTTTCTGGTATCACTATTTCAATTTTCATGGTGGGCAACACAAAACAACAATCAGAATAATCAGGTGAGATTGAAACTACCTATAGATACAAATAATTATGAATAATCATTAGACTATCTCTATCAGTTAGATATAGTAATTTCTAAGTATCAGAGCAGAATGATCAGGTGTGATAAAAACTAGAGACAAATAATTATCAAGATCACTAAGTTTCCTTCATAAAATGATTACATATGAATTTACTCTGATATTCCTTGGCATAAAAAAACAATAAAAAAATAAAAAAGAACTTAAAGTAGTGAAAAAATACAAGAATGGAGCAGGCTAAGATGATTAGAAGTAATGAAATTCAATTAATTTACAAATCATTATTGATCATCATGTTGTCTCGACATAAATTACAAGATATAGTTTATCAATGTGTCTTTTATTTGATTTGCATAATTATTCACATACGACTAAATCAAACTTGGCACAAATAATCAATAATGTTTGACCTTATCAGCTAGATAGACCAATATTTTCTGGTATCACTATTTTGATTTTCATGATGGTCAACAAAGAAAAAAAAAAGTGGAGTGATCAAAACTATATACAAACAATTATTAATGATCACTGGACCGTTTCTATCAGCTAGATAGATGGTAATTTCTGAGTATTAGATCAGAATGATCCAGTGCGATAAAAACTAGAGACAAATAATTATCAACAATCACTAAGTTTCCTTCATAAAATGATTATATATGAATTTACTCTGATATTTCTTGCATAAAAGGTAAATAAAAAAATAAAAAAGAACTTTAAATAGTGAAAAAAATAAAAGAATGGAGTAGGCCAAGATGATAGTTTGAATGAAATTCAATTCATTCACAAATCATTAATGGTCATCAGGTTGTCTCAACCTTATTCATACGATATAAGCTTATTAATGTGTATTTTATTTGATTTGCATAATTGTCCACAAACGAGTAAATCAAACTTGGGACAAATTTTCAATAATGATCACGGGCCTGTCTCTATGAACTAGTAGTATTTTCTATCACTGTTTAGCTTTTCATGGTAATAAAAAAAATTCGTGACTGATATGGTGAAAAAGTATGACAAGAGTGCCAGATCAAAATGACCTATCAAAACTAAATATAATTGAATCAATGATCACTGACTGTCACAATTTTGCTGATATTTACAGTTTACTCTTGTAACTTTTGATTTTATTTGACCAATACTGCAAACTGCGAAACAAAGGGAAAATGGTGAATGTTAAGACAAAAACATGGTAGGCTAAAATGATCATGTGCGATTGAACAGGAGACAAATAATCACTAATGATTACAGTTTTGTCTCTTTCAGTTGATAGATTTTTTATCAGTTTTATGGTATCTGTTCTTTGAGATATTTGAAGTTGATAACAAATGAAATGTTTTGTTTTGTGTTTTAGGTGTTTTTTTTAACCCAAGTTCATCAGAAACAGTGAAAAAACTGGAAGCGATGAGTCTTTTTCCCCTTTTTTTCTTACATAGTCTTGGAAAGGATGACAGTCATAAAAGGCTCCAAGAAAAACGGAACCCGTGGGCGTAACGTTCTTTTTCATTTCCTCCGGTACTTATTCGATTTCGAGCCAGTGTAATAAAGTTTATAATTTGTTATTAAGTTTTCAGTTAAATGTGGATTAGTAAACAAAAAAAAATGTTGGAGGCAAAAAAAAACGGTTAAGGTGTAACGGTATATTTAAAAAAAACATCTAACAGAGAACCGTCTGTTATGTTTGTTGTTTAATTTATGCGTTTTTAAAAAGAAAAATGCTTCGATTCGTTTAGTAAATGCCGCAGTTGAGAAAATCTGGGAAAAAATGAACTTTTTAAAAAATATATTCCAATTTTTTTAAGAATAATTTTGTCGGTGGTTTTATAACAAAGGCTGACTTAAAAGCTACTGTATGTTTTAATTATTTTTGTTAAACTTGAACTTATCAGAGCGGAAATTGGCAAGAATAAACGATTTACACCTGAGCAATAAAAACAAAGGAGAAACCTGGTTTTATAATTTCCATGTATCTCGTAGACGGTGTTTCGGCTCACTTGACCATCTGCACTCCTTCTGTCAGCTTTCGGGTCGGAAAATAATTTAAAAATAAAACATAAAACTTAAAAAGTGTTAAAATTAAAATAAAATAACGGGGTCCTTCGCTGGAGAAGAGAATCTCGAGCCGACGTTGCGACCCACTCAGTTCGTGTGGGGCAACCTAACTGATGTACGTACGGCTGTTGGACAGGCTGCCCAATGTTGCCAATCTGGCCGGATGAATATCCCCGCCGTCCGCCTGCTAATTTCCGAACTTCATTTTCAATTTTCAGCCCTTTTAAGGTGAAAAATGAGGAATTTTTAATTCTAACAATAAAATATATTTAAGTACAAAAATTTTTAACGTAAATTTTTAAATTAAAAACGTTTCATTTAAATATATTTTACATATAAGAATTTGACTGATGCAATCAATAGACACCTGTTGCTGGCCCCCTTCCGAAAAATCAATCAAAATCCAACGAATTTCGTACAAAAACAAAACAAAAACAATAATTTATGTTTAACTTTAAATAATTAACCATAAATAATTAGAAAAAGTTATGAAACAATTAATAAAAAATGGAAAAGATAAAACAAGTAAAGTAAGAAAAAATATATTGTACTAGAAAATTAATACATTAAATTATCGCTATATATTATATAAAAAGTACAGACTGGGAGGAAGAGATACAAGTTAATGTTGATTACATTTCGTACGCAGATGGTTCTAAGACCGAGTAGGGTCAAGAACATCTATGAAAAATACTAGCACTCATATTATAGGCCTTGGTCAATATCCTCTATTTCTGAAGGACCTGTTGCTGTTGAACACTGTGCCAAGGAGATTAAGGAGATGCTGGGCATTATTTAAAAAATGGACACACGGACACTTACTTTGTGGCCAAAGCCCGTATACATGCCCGTCATGCAAAATTTCTCAACGTATGCCACTTCAGTGAATGGTATCACTTCCTTGGTTCCATATAGAAAGTGAGTAGCATTGCTAGAGATGTTTCATTGATCTTGACTGGTTATATATTTGACAGAGTGGAAGGTGTTTTTCGGCCATTAAGCATGTATATCGAGTATGTCTTATTCTTAATCTTGTAATTAAGATTACTACGTACTACCGAAGAATGCCAATATGTTACAGGAAGCTTGATATTTTGCAGATTGTTGTCAATAGTATCATGCTATTCATGTCAAACAGACTATAACAACTTTTTCTTGTGTACAGAATAATAATCGCAGGGAATGTGGTCTATTATTAGATACCGATCCACGATGCAAAACAATGAACAGAAGTTGGTGAAATTTGATATAATTGTTGAATTAGATATACTTGATATATATTCAAAATATTTGCCAAATTAGTACAAGGAATATGTCCCAGGAGTCTAAAAACGTGCCGCTTTGCCAGGAGCCCTATCCCATAAATGCCATCCATATTTCGCAAAATATTTAGCAGAATTTATCTAAATTTGAAAAAAATTATTAAAATATTGAGCATTGACTTGTGTTTATGTTTTATGACAAATTAGCACAAGGAATATGCCCCCAAGGTGCCAGATAATTTTCTAGGTACTTTTCTACTACAGGGTGTTCGGCTACTCGTGTTACAAGTTTATTCTAAATTTAAAATGGAACCAAAAAGTCCTAATTAACTATGGTCCCAATCTCAACAGTTTCGGAGTTATTACACTTTTTCTGATTTTTAAGTTTTCACGACTTTGCTTGAAATAAACAATGATATCTCCAAAACTAAAAGGTTTTGGACAAATCCGTTGATATCACTGAAAACTACGTTGAATTTCCCATAAAATGTGATCAATAATAAAATTTTAAACGTTCGTGAAATAAATGTTTTAGTAGCGAGAAATTTGAAAACAAATTTTTTTTCAAAGTTGAAAAACTTACTACAGTGATTCTAAACTACTATTTCAAAACCTAGAAATCAGCAAATTTCAGCAAACGTACTCCATTTAATATCCTTTTTAGTGGTGTAATTGCTTTTTTAATTATTTTTTTCGAAGATGAAGAAATTGATGAAGGAAAGGAAAAAACCGTGTTTGACGGATTGGTAAAGTGGACAGATTAAAAAAACTTAAGGAAATTTGGAATGAATTTACCTAAGGGTTGTTTAATTGGGGTTCGAAACCAAAATAGTGCAAGTGTTTACTTATTTACCAACACGACTACAACTTTTATTAAAAGATTATTGTATTATTATTACCCGGAATAAAAAGTTTTAAGATTTAAAACGTTTTTAGTTCATTCATTCAAAATGAAAAAGTAATTAAAAAATAAATTACACCACCCAAAAGGATATTAAATGGAGTACATTTCCTGGTCTCTAGGTTTGGAAATAATAGTTTAGAATCACCACAGTAAGTTTTTCAACTTAAAAAAAATATATATTTTTCAAAGATTTGGTTATTAAAACGCTTATTTCACCAACGTTTACAAGTTAGGTATTGATCACATCTTATTGGAAATTCAATGGTATCAACGGATTTGTCCAAAAAAATTTAGTTTTAGAATTATCATTGTTTATTTGAAGCAAGGTCGTGAAGTCTTGAAAAATCAGAAAAAGGGTAATAACTGCGAAACTGTAGAGATTCGGACCATAGTTAATTAGGACTTTTTAGTTCCATTTTGAATTTAGAATCTACTGGCAAAGTTTGTAACACGAGTAGCAGAATACCATGTATACCGCTTAGTGAGGAGCAAAGCCAATTTCTTTAAATTTTCTCATGCATCGTACAATAATCAGCCAAATTAATTCTTAAGCTCTGATTAAAAAAAAGTTTAATTAAATTATTAATAATGAAAATGCACCAAGAGCCTATTTTAGAGAGAATTTAGGTGCTGGATAACGCCAAGTTGAACAATGTTTTTCAAATCAAACACAATTGATCCATAATGATAGAGTAATTTGGTCCTTGAATACAATCTAATTTCATGACATTAAAAAATCCTTTTTTTTTAATGTTTTTTACTTTTTTTCGTCCGAAGAAGGCGATGGCACGAGTAACGATTTCGCCTAGAACAGAGCGAGGCCTTGCGCGTCCTTGGTATTTGAATATTTATCTCTCCTCGGCTCTGACCTACTAACCGGGGCCAAGTCGTTTTATTCCGAATCGATTTTCAGAATAAGTCAAATTTTATTTTCGGTTTGATACCTTGATGAGGGCGTAACGTTACGTATTTCATGTGAGGGGGTAAAATCCATGCATTACCCTGTAGGCTTCTTGGGCTCGACCTCTTTCGCTTTGAACGACCCATCATGTTCAGATAGTTTTCCAAGTTTGAATCTGTAATTAAATTAATTAATTATTATAAAAGTGCATTTAAACGATTTATTATTTCTTAGAATTTTTTTGACATTACGCATCAAACAACCCTGTTATTCAATGAGAAACCGACTTAATATTTAAGTAACCGTAAAAACCGATGGTAAAGTCTCGTCGACCATATTCAACTCAGCCGTAAAAAAAAGTTTCAGCAGTAAGGAAATTGAATGATTATTTGTAGACTCCTTATATAAGTTTATATACCTATTTTTTGTTCAGTCTTTTCTAAATTCTGTCTCTTGTTTTATTAGTTTCTTTTTAATGTTGTTTCAATTGTTTTTACAGTTTAATAGTACTTTTCAATGTAGTTTCTTTGACAGTTTGTTCATTGATCTCTTTTGACTATTTGTTTCAGTCCAACCTTTGACCAAGTTTTGTTTTTGTCATCTTAATCTTCAGTTGCCATATCGTACTTTTTTATTGTATAGTTTGGCATTGGTTTGTCGTTGGTTTTTCAGTCATATCAAATCTTTTCTTCGGTTTTATATTTCTTTTTCAACCGACGTTTTTGTTAGGGGGATGGGTTTATATGTGCCATTTAATGTACAATAGACCAATACTGATGCGCAGGTCGTAAAGAGGCCGGCTCCTACGTTATCGAATGCCATTTCTAATTGACCTCGTATATTGTCCTTTCTTTGGTAACTGATCTTTCATTTCGTCCGTTAGTTTAATTTATTTTTGAGTATGTGAGGTGTACTTTTATTTGTTTGTGTGTGTGTCTGTAGGTGGGGTGTGTGTTTTTGTTTGTTTGTGTGTGTGACCGAGTGAGACTTCTTGACCTCTTAGTTTGGCCCTTTGTTTTATTTTTATAACTGAGGTTTAAGTTCTCTCAGTTTGTTTCTGGTTTTATTTTTGTAACTGACCTCTTAGTTTTTTCGGTTTGATCTTTAGGTTTCATATTTTTAACTGACGTTTTAATTCTCTTAATTTTTCCCTTGGTTTTATATTTATTTCTAATTGACCTCTCGGTTTGTTTCTGGTTTTATTTTTGTAATTGACCTCTTAGTTCTTTCAGTTTGATCTTTTGGTTTCATATTTTTAACTGACGTTTTAATTCTCTTAGTTTTTCCCTTGGTTTTATATTTATTTCTAATTGACTTCTCGGTTGGTTTCTGGTTTTATTTTTGTAATTGACCTCTTAGTTCTTTCAGTTTGATCTTTTGGTTTTATATTTCTAACTGACGTCTTAGCAGCTCTTCTATTTTCCCATGTTTTTTGTTTATTGATATTTGACTCCTCAGTTTGTTTTATAAGCCTTATTTTTATTTATTTACTTTTTTTATATTGACCTCTCAGTTTGTCCATTTGTTTTATTTTTGTTTTTAATTGATCTCTCAGCTTGTCTAGCCGTTTTATTTTTAATTTTAATTGACCTCCCAGTTTGTCCATTGGTTTTTATCTTTGTAGTTTTTTTTTATTGACCTCTCAGTTTGTCCATTGGTTTTATTTTTGTTTTTAATTGATCTCTCAGCTTGCCCAGCCGTTTTATTTTTAATTTAAATTGACCTCTTAGTTTGTCCATTGATCTTATTTTTGTTTTTAATTGATCTCTCAGCTTGTCCAGCCGTTTTATTTTTAATTTTAATTGACGACTCAGTTTGTCCATTGGTAGTTTTTTTATTGATCTCACAGTTTGTTCCTTGGTTTTATTTTTGTAACTGACGTTTTAATTCTCTTAGTTTTTCCCCTTGGTTTTAACTTTGTTTCTATTGTTTTATGGTTATTTCTTTTTGACTTCTCAGTTTGTTTTATAAACCATTTATTTATTTATTTTTTACTGACCTCTCACTTTGTCCCTTGGTTTTTATTTTTGTTCCTAATTGATCTTCCAGTTTGTTCCTTGGTTTTATTTTTTCATTTTAATTGACCTCTCAGGTTGTCCATTTATTTTTATCTTTGTAGATTTTTTTATTGACCTCTCAGTTTGTTCCTTGGATTTTTCTTTTTTTCTAATTGTCCTCTCGCTTTGTCCCTTGATTTTATCTTTGTTTTTAATTGACCTTTCGGTTTGTCCCTTTGTTTTATTTTCCTTTTTGGCCTCTCAGTCTGTCCCTTGGTTTTCTTTTGTTTTTCTGATCGAACTTTTAGTTTGCCCCTTGGTTTTATCTTTGTATTTTCTAATGTTTTAACTGTTTAGTTTTGTTGTCCTCTTGATTTGTCATCTTCGTCCGTTGATCAGATCAATCATCAATTTCAGTTTGCTTGTTCCTCTTGTCAGTTTGTTAGTTTGTTTGTGCTCTATGGTTATTTTTGCCTTTTTATATATTAATTTTCCTCATGTCTTCCTCTGTAAAGAAGAAAGAAGTTACTTGTCATATTTTTGTCCATATATATTTGTGTGTGTGTGTGTGTGTGTGTGTGTGTGTGTGTGTGTGTGTGTGTATGACATATTGAGCTTATTGGAGATTTAGGCGTGTGGTTTGACTTTGCTCTTTGTAAGTTTAGCTTCGAGAGACGTTTATTGCACATTTTTTTTACATGGTGGAAAAGATTGTAGGCGAAACGTAAGACGACTTCCTGTACTGCGTAATTCCAATTAATTAGTAGGAAAAAGAGGATGGGCCGGCATTCTTGTCTTGTGTGCTAGCTAAGGATAACTAATCTCACAAATGGCATGAGGGCGGTTTTTTTCAATCACGAAGCCTCTCCTTTTAAGCCAAAAGACGATCATAGCCTTTGAGACGTGGGCGTGGCGTTAAAATTAACGCTCATCAACTCTCAGATCCGCCAAGGATTTTCTTTCATATTTCTTGTGTTCATTCTTTATCGGAAATGAGCCAGCGGCCGTCATTGAAAGCCAAGGTGCATCCTTCCCAGTCCTTCGAATATCAATTTAGAGCCGGTTACGCAATTAGGATTCGACCTTTTCCCTGTATTCACACCTTTATTGTCTTTTTAAATTTTATTTATTAAATAGTTTGAAAAGAACAATGGGACCTGCCAAAAGCAAAGTGAACCAATATTATAAGACAACTCGAATAAGGAATATATATCTGAAAACATAGATATTCGCATACGAAGTAATAATAATAATAAATACGATTATTTGGAGATCGTAAGGTGCGGTCTGGTGTGACGTAAGTTTTAAAAAAACATTTTCTTTATCGTGCCAACGTTTCGATCTTTATTGAGATCATCTTCAGGGCCTGGTTGAATTTTACAAATACATGTAGGATGTGGGAAAAAATGAATTTATACAATGCTAGAGAATTTTAGATTAATAAAAAGAATGAATTTATACAATGTTAGGAAATGTTAGATAAAAAAAACGAATTTATACAATGCTTGAATAATCATTGGCTAACAGTCATTAAACACCACACAATAATTATAAAGAATATATAAACACTCATACAAAAACACAAACTCGCTGATATTACTTTATTTGTAAAAAAAAGTCAAGTCTATTGGTAGCAGTGTCTTTGTATTACTAAGGCTTCAGATTTATTGTAGTTTGCTATTGATTTGTTATATTTTTCGTTTTAATTATTTGTATTTAATTTACTACTTTATTAGTCGATTCTGTATAGGTGGCTGTGTTCGGGTACTAATAGTCAATTATGGGTTGGAGTTTTTTTTTTAAAAAGCTCATATATACCCACAGGTTGCCGGTATTTTTGAAAAAAAAACAACATTTGTAAGTATGTCGGGTTCGAACCGTGTGGAGTGTATTCTGACCATTCTAAGTTCAAAACCTGTAGTTCTTAGATCCGTCTGAAGGACCAAAACAGGTATGAGTTTGCCGTATGTTGGTGGGTGCGATTTTAGTTTTTTTTAATTACATTTTTGGTGGGCACATCTTTGTAGTAATAGTAAGTGTTTTTTGGTAGCGGGTCTTTGTAGTCTATTGTCAATTGCTTTGGAATTTAGTTCGTACTATTTTTTGCTTCTAAATTCAAAATTCTTTTATAGTGGCTTTGTTTGTATGCATAGTCATATATTGTTATGTCATTTTCGGCATACATGTGATTGGGGTCAATATTCCTCAGTACTTTTGGTCTTATTTGCTCTTTATTGACCAAGTTATAGTAATTACTTACATTGTCATATCTTTCGAGTTGGTGTCTTTGCAGTGACTAGTCAATTTTTATGTATTTAGATCTGTTTTGTCCGATTCTAGGCATTCTTAACCGTACAAAAATGATTTTTTATTATTTAGCGGATGGTAATTAACAAACGATTTGCGTGGTAAAGTAAAAATAGCGAAAATACGATATTATTAATAAAGGAAAAGCTTTTTTATATGCAGGCAATTTGCATTTGGGAAGCCAACAATCCTAAATTTCAGGGTTTTTGTATAAAATAGGCTGAAAATGTAGTACGGTGAAAAATGCAAAGGCGCTCTCAAGTTACATGATATCGTAAATTTAAGAAAAAAATGCTTTTGTAAGAATTACACCAAGATGGAAATAATAAGGTCGTCGGAACATTTAGAAATTCGACTCGGTTCGCCTTGGAAAGCGGTACCCTTCCCATGGGAAGATTTTCACACCGTATCTTCGTCCGTTCATTTGCATCCACGCGAATTAACAATTACCCGGGTCTCGGCGTTAGATATCAATCTAAAATTCTCAAAGATGGAATAAATAAACAAAGCGCGGGAAGAAATCGCCAGCCGGGAATTTGTGAATTCAAAAGAGGCACATGCTTGGAGGAAGAGCAAGGACGTGGCGAACCAGTCTCCCCAGAAAAGGAGATCCGAGTCTCCTTGGGTCCAAGAAAACGGTCTGCGTTTTGCCTTTTTGTTGCTCAATCGTCCGACATCGGAGCAGAGATCAACCGCAGCCTTTCGTTCGTACAATGGGTCCGACCGGTTGGTCAACCTTTTGTTTCTGATCGAAATCGAAATGAAACAATAGCTCAATGACCATCTGATATTCAGACCTCTTCTTGGCTCTTCTTAGAAAATGTAGCCGAAAAACACTTTTCATATCCATCCCGACCAGCAGAACTCTTTA